GTTGAACTGCCAATGAAGCAATGTCAAGAAAGCCACCCACAAACGACCTCAACGCCTCCGTGCTGGTTCTTGCATATTAGGCCTGAATGATCCATTCCGTTCAATCACGAAATTCGCCTGCGGAGTCTGTGGAGCTGCATTAGCAGTATCCTTTGACCTGGCTGCTTGAGATCGTGTCCTTGACATTCCTCTCGTTCCTCTTCTCTGTGATGACTCTGGAATTCCTGACTGAGTATTCAACTTACCTGTTGGTGCAGTTGAAATGGACTTCTTCCTGCCAGGCAATGGGGTTGGTGTTGACGGAGACGAGGGGGCATTGGAAGACAGAGGAGTTAGGTCATTGAAGTCAAGAAGATCGTCGAGAGGTTGTGAAGCACTGCCACTAGCAGTGCCCCCATAGCTTTCTATCTCGTCATTGCTAATTGGTTTATTAGCATCTGGTGTCGAGATAATATTGCTGGAGGGGGCAGTGATGGCAGTCATTCCGCGCCCTGGTGGTGGTATAACTACAGGGGTGGAGGAAGGGACGACAGGATGAGGAAGAGGGGATGATGGAGCAGAGGGGGCTGAGGGCTGAGATTCACATTGAGTGGGTTGTGCATTACCCTCCTCGATGGGATTCTGTGGTGCGCTCGGTGCTGGCTTTGTGATAGGCTTGGGCTTGGGCTTGGGCTTGGGCTTGGGCTTTGACTGGGTATTCAATGGTCCAGCCTTCGACAGTCCAGCCTCATCTATGGATCCTCTCTGCATCATCTTCTGTACCTTGGTGGCAGGAGCTCCCTCCCTGTTTCCATCCTCTGGCACCTTCTTTGGCACTTTACAATGACAGCGGGATTCATCGATGACATCTACTTCCTTTGTTTTCGCCATTTTCTTGCCATTCGTCTTGCATTTTTTTGCAGGAGGCTGTTCAACGGCACTTTTCTGGGTGCTCTGGTCATCATCATTATCGCTTTCTCCATCAGCTGCAGCAGGAGCATCTGCTGGTACATCACAATTGTACAGCAGCTGGAATGCCTCTGCAAAAATATGAATAAACCATCATTATCCAAAAGTAAAAGGGACTTACTCCTGTTTCGACAGACATTAAAATCAGGCTTCTTGAAGAAATGCTGAAGCTGCTGGGCTTTTGAACCAGAGTGTTGAGCCATCAAGACATCAATAGTGTCTGTCGCGATAAGGCAAAAGACGTAAACGGTTTCCTTTTGCCCATGACAATGGGCACGACCAATCATCTGTTCTTCTTGAATGGCAGTCCAACCAATATCTTGTGGGATCTCAGCCAGTGAATGTCAACTAGTGACAATGCTGAAACTTACAAAGAGGATGATGACAGAAGCTCTCATTAGGTTAAGCCCAGAGCTATCTACCTGGCTGAGGAGAAGCATGTGAACATCTGAACCAGGATGGAGGTTAGGGTTAGGGTTAGGGTTAGGGTTAGGGTTAGGGTTAGGGTTAGGG